TATTTCAGTTGTTGATCAATACAATTATTGGCATAACGTTGACAATTGCATGGCTGCAGCCTGTCATTGATGTTGTTGCCGTTGTTGTTGTCGTTGTTGTTGCTGCCAATAAATTTTCAGCGCTAAATGCATTAAATGTTTACAAAGCCAACAAGCCGGGTGATAAATCAAATTATTGCACTGACAATGGCATGTAGAAATATGTATGTGCCAGTCAATAGTCGAGATGAGTTGAACCAACTGCCATGCAAATACTCTACTCTACTCTACATACATGAATATATATTTTAAATGGTTTGTTTTGGACGTGATTAAGCAAAAGCTAAGCTTGACACGGCTTAAAATGCGATTAGTGAAAATATTAAATAGATTTATTGGCATATATAATCTGACGCATTTGGATGTAGTTTGAAATGTTCAAAGATATATATGAACAAATAAAATAACTAAATAGGAAATGAAATGAGGAAAAGTACTTCATTTAAATTAATAACTATCTAGAAAATGAAATAAACAAGAGAACTGCATTTAACCTCAAAATGATAAAACAATTTGAAGAACTACAACAAAGGCTAATCCTTAGCGTAAAACTACACGAATGCATGTTAAGTCTTTGAAGACGTATTTGCATAAAGTTTGAAATGTTTTAAAATATATATGAACAAATCAAAAAACTATTTAGAAATTTAAATATAGGAACGAACAGCATCCAAGCTGTTTGTCAAGATAATAAATTAATTTTAATAACTAAAACAAAGGTTGATTCTCTTAACAACGTGATGAATGAAACGTTTATCTTTAATACTTATTTATATAATTATTTATTTATTTATTTAATTATCTATTTATTTGTGTATTTATTTATTATATTAATTTCATTATATTTAGACAACCATATTATTCACATATATATATATCTATTTATTTATTTACTTTTAATATATTTTTTATTTTTGCTCATTTATTTACTTATGTATTTATTAGTTGCCTGTTGGAAACAAAATAAAAAATAATCCCAACTAATTATATTAATTTCGCATATTTCATAATTAGAAAACCAACGGAATAAAAGAGTTATTGGGAAGGGTAAAGAAATGTATTATAGAATAGCCAGCCAGCTGGGCATACACAATAATAATTTCAAGTTATGTATAATAATATTCTTCAACTACCCGACTCTCAAGTTCTTATATACCCAACAATTTAACAAGAGAATATTAGTTCTTGCGCTTGAGAGCATCAGCTTAATCAGAAGTGTTAAATGCCTCATGAGCTGGCAAATGTTGCCTTCTCATGACACACTTTTGCGTGCCATCTCGCTGAGAGTGTCGTACAACAACAACAACACGACAGCAACATCAACAACAACAACAACACGACAGCAACATCAACAACAGCAACAGCAACAACATCACAGCCGACAATTGTTGCGCATTTGTGCTTATGATACGTTAGCATATTTCTTTCTGTTCTGCTGCACTCACAGATTGCGGTTAAGCATGCGGCAACAACAGCAACAGCAACAACAGCAACAGCAACAAGAGCCAGTTGCAAGAACAACAGGCTGCAGACAGGCCCATGTGAGAATGTTTAAGGCCCGACCCAAACACGCACAGTTGCATGAGCTCTGCTCAAACGGTAAAATGCGTGCTCGCATCTGGCCAACTCGGGTGTTGGGAGTCTTTGGGCCTTTGGGAATTGGCTGCTGCAAGTGTTGTTGTTGCCGTTGTCTGTTCTCGTTGTTGTTGCTGTTGTTGCTGTTGTTGCTGCTGTTGTCTGCAGGCATCCCGAAGAAATCGAGTCACATGCACACAAAGCGGGACAGTTGGAAACTTTTGCTTATTTAACTGTAACTGTCTTTCTTTGTGCAGACAACAACAACAGCAGCAGCAGCAACTGCAGCCACTTAGAACGGTCTGCCGCTGCGCAGGCGCAACATCATTTCATTTTTCAACTGTCAATGGCAAGTGGCGGTCGTTGTCTCAGTAGTTTACTGTAACAACAGCGGCGCAAGTGCAACAACAACAACAACAGCAGCAGCAACAGCAGCAACTGTTGCCCGCTTGAGCAGCTGCCTCGGGCGGAGATTGTTAACCAGATTGCCAGACTTCAACTTGTGTGTCTCTCTGGCTATCCCTCCCCTCCTCTCCCTCACTCGATTTTTTACTGTGATTGATACAAGTGCATTTCACCTTCTACTTCAACGCGTATTCTTGCAGCAAATTAAATCCATTCAACGGGCATCGATCATGTTGCTGCCGCTGCTGCTGCTTTGTCTGTTTAACCAGCATTTAACTTAAGCCGATTTATGTGTGAGTCAAGCAAGTGAGGCATAACTGACCGACGACCAGGCCTAAACCTTTTGTGCCCGCTCTCACCCCGCCCTTCTCTCCCACTCTCTCTCTGCATGTGCGTCTCATTAGCATGTGGGTGCTGTGCGGCCCGATAATGATGGCCAGCAGATGTGAGCTGCTGCTGCTGCTGCTGGCACAGCTACGGCTGATAATGCTGACCAGGCTGTTTTGCGTTTCCTTAGAAGTTGCCGTTGTATAATAAACTGAAGCTGCACCGTCAGCAGTCAGCAGTCAACAGTGAGCAGTCAGCAGTCAACTGTTTGCCGTCAGCAGTTGCATTGTCTATCTATAACGGTGTCTGCAACGGTGCGTAATTGAAATGTCACTGCCTGGCCAGGCAGTGGGCGTGGGCGTGGCAGTGGGCGTGTGCGTGGGCATGCCACACATTATCTAAAGCCAAACTCAGTTGTTGCAACAACAACAACGAGCATCAGCTCACATATTAAACGCACATGCATTACGTGCCACTGCACTTTTGGCCAAAAGTCCAATTATCGGGCCACATTGTCGGCAACATTGGCAACAACGCATCAGACGAATGAACAGATATTGGGCAAGCAGCGGCGGGTCAACAAGTTATTATTGACAAATGGAAATGTCAAAATGAAAAATTAACTGCAAAATCAACAGTCAAAAAGCCAGCAAACAGCCAAATGACAATTGAAAATGTCAAAATTCGCGCGGCAGAAGGCAGCAGCAGCAGCAACAACAATTGCTCGAGGTAATGGGCAACAACGAGCAGCGCATTGCTGCCAATTGCTGGCCAGCAATATGGGCGTAATGGGTCTGTTCATCTGTCCATCTGTCCATCCCACCTACCACCCCCCTCACCCCCTCCCTGGCACCCAGTAGCTCGCCTTAAAAATGCATGTTACAAAAGTTGCGCGAGAATAACAGGCAGCCAAATTGACAACGACCAGCAGCAAAGGCGCCGCAGCAACAACAGCAACATCGACAGCAGCAACAGCAACAGTTGCAACAACAACAGCAACAGTTGCTGGCATTGCCTGTCGTCGCTGACCGTTGTGGACACTCGACGCGGCATTTGAATGGCAACTGTGCCGCCTGCCGCCTGCCACTGTCAAAGTTGTTGTTGTTGTTGCTGCTGTTGCTGCTGCATTCAACTTGTTGTTGTTGTCGTTTTGGCAATAACCACTTGATAAATGATAAATTAATTGAGTAATATTGCCAAATGGCACAGTTTGTTTTTTTATTTGTGCCCTATGCAAATCAGTTAGTTCTGTTAACTGCATTAATATGATTTATGGATATAGTATTTTGGACAGAACAAATGCGTGTTTGTTAATTAAATGAAGCTAGAAAGTTGACAAGTCTATCAACTTAAGCAGAAAAACATCTAAATTAAATATTGATTAAATTTTAAAACAAAAAATGAGTCTTAGTTAAATATTTGTACTATTTTTAATACTGCTTTTGGCGACCTTTCTATATTTCAATCTTAGTTTATTAAAATCAATATTGAAAAACAATTTTGTTTTAATATATTTCTCTGATATATCTACCGAAAATCGATATATATTATTTATTAAGTTTTCAAACTTTTGCTGATTTTGAAGAACTTCAACTGCTGAAGATAAGTATCATAATCAGGTCTAAGAACTGTTTTAAGCCCAGCTGGATTAGAGACTGACACAACTTTTTGAAACTTTTAGGCAAGTTTGGGCGTTTAAAATCTTTTAAGCAATATTCCAATATCTTCATTGACATACAAAAGGTTAATTTAACTAGATTTTGCAAACTTCACAGATCAAATATTGTAGGAAATATATCACCCAAAAGAAGTCTATTGTTGCTGCCTTAAAAATGCAGCACATATTTTTTCTAAAATACAGTCCATTTATTTATTTAATATTAACAATAACCTATCCAACCTCTCTATAAACCTCTCTAACTGAATTCAAAGGCAGCGAAAACTTTGTTGAGATTTGCAGCCACGATCTTAATTCATATTATATTAAAATTTCCCATAGAGTATACCCAGTTCGTATGTAACTTTTATTGAGCTTAAAGCCCAGTTCATAGGTCAATTTATATTTATATATATAAGTAATTTTCTATTTATATTTTCTATAGAGTATTAATAGTTCTTATGCACAAAAATGTTTTCTTCATTTCGTAAGTTTCATTTTATGTTCGTCATATTTTATTTATTTGTTTTCAATAGGGTATTCGTAGTTCGTATGTATTCATGTATTTTCTATAGGGTATTCATAGTTCGTATGTATTCATGTATTTTCTATACGGTATTCATACTTCGTGTGCACAGGTTTTTCCCTTTTGGCAATTCATTTAATTTTGGTGTTTGGGTGGCAACCGAAATTTGCTTTAAATTTGCTTTCGCAAGTTTTATCTGTTGCGACTTATTTTGACAGTGGGTCACAAGGACGTTGCATGTAAACACAATCTAAATCTGTTGCTGCTGTTGCTGCCACACTTTGCGGCAACACGTTTGTCAACTGTAATTAGTGAGCATGCATTTTGCAGTCATGTGCGGACTTAAAGAGCAGAAGACGAGAGCGAAACGTGCAGAATTTTGAACAGCAGAAGTGCAGAGTCTTATATTAAATGTGAATATATAACTATCTATATTTATTTATACAAAAAGGTAAATAATTAGCTATTTACCTGAGCAGTTTTTCCATTCGCAAGCATTTTCCTTTAAGATTTATCCATTTAATTAAGAGCAGCTGTGCAAAAAGTATTTTGGCAAAGAAATTGCGTGCAGCTGTTGGGCCAGGAATTGTCTAAATAAAAAGATTTGGCATTAGATAAACGATAAATTAAAATATTTATTTGCTGGCAACTTAAACGAAAAGTCGACAATGTAAAAATGATGTGTAAAATATCCAAGCCCAGGCAATCCCAAATTAAAACAAAGTCAAATAAAAACAAGGATATTCATATAAAAAAAACGTGATATACAAATATTTGCATAACACTTCATGTTTAGCAAATGCCAAAGCAAAACACACACACACAGTCGCACACACACACACAGACGCACAGCAAAAGTTGCAGCCATCTGCTAAATGTTGCTTATTTTCATCAGCTGCAGACGGTAATGGGGAGAGGGGGGAGGGCGGGTAGGGAGGCGTGGTCGTGCGGAACGTCTGCTGTCTGGAGCTGGGTAACAAAATCAACAGCATGGGTAAATTGTTTAATTGAATTTACCGCAGATGCGCTTAAGTTGGCAGTAATTTAGCCAAAGCCATGTAGTATTTTCTAAATGTATCTCACAGATATTTGTATCTGTATCTGCATCCTTGTTGCCATTGCCAGAGACAGGAACGTGCCAGCAGCTCAAGCACATGGGCTCGATTGTCGTCGCAAATACAAATACAACAAATACACACACACACACACACACATGCACACACAAGCCGCAAAGAACAAGCAGCATTTGCAGTGCAATGAAATGAAATGTATCTATAAGCTACACGACAATGTCCGTCTGTGTGGAGTGTGTTGTGTGTGTGTGGAGTGTGTGTGTGTTGTGTGTGTGTGTGGCTGTGCATTGGCAAGTGTTTTCTTCCTGTAACTATGCATTAAATTGAAAATGGCAAAGAAAGTGCTACAGAGCGCTGTTTGAATTGCTTTACCGATTGCTGCCGCCGCCGCCGCCGGGTTCTAGATTTCTCCCGGGCCCAATTATGTGTGTGTGTGTGTGTGTGTGTGTGTGTGTGTGTGTAGCCACAGCATGTGCTTTCTCAATTTCTCAATTGGCCAGTGCTCGCCAGTTTGCCAATTGCTCAATGTGTGCTGTTAATGCTGTTGATATTTAAGCTACAGTTTTTTCCTTTCTTCTTCTTCTTTTTTGTTGTATGTCAAAGTTCGTCGCGTTGCAAGTTGCAACATGCCTTATGGCCCGCTGCTAATTAATTTGTTTTCAGTCTCCGACTCGCGTTTAGTTCATTAGTTGCTGTTTATTCTGTGGCATCAGGCGTCATTAGTTAACATTGACAATGCAATTGAGCAACTTCGCCTGCACACTTTTTATACAGGGTATTGTGATATTGTCACAGGGCATGTTCCTCGACTCTATGTAAGAACTAACTCTCTCTAAGATTAAACTTGAGTTCCATGTTTACCTTTCTTGTCCAAGAAATATCTACAACTATTTACTATTACATGACAGTTATTCCATGAAGCTCTTGTCTAAAAAGCTCGTGTGGTTCCTGAGATATCTGCAACAGCTCCAAGCTTTTCTATGAGCCTTATGTCTGAGCCAAGAAATATGTTTAATTGTTTACCATACGAGGCCAGCAAAGAGTAATTGGCTCAGATCAGAATGGTTTATAGAACATTCACTGAATGTTTGTTAGGGTATTCAATCGACGGCATCTGTTTGTGACCTGTTCTTGCGTTTGGTTCCAGCTATATCTGCAGCAAGTACAAACTTTTCTATGGTTAACTAGCTGAGATCAGAGTGTTATACAGAACACTCTTAGAATGTATGTTAGGGTATTCAAGCTGCGGCTTTTCAAATGCCAACTGTTCGTTCGTTTGGTTCTTTGCAACACTGCAGCGCATCTGCCTGGCCCAAAAGAACTAGCCAAAGCTGCGTCTTCCAACACCTGAGCTCTTAGCTAAGAGAGCGCGTCGAACAGCTTGTGCGCATGCGCAGCCGGCTAACAAGCTCTTAAGAGTCGCACGCTCTCTCTCTCTCCCTCTCTGTGTCACGCTCTTCGAGGTCTGCCGGTTACACGGCGTCGTCACGATCATCATCATTATCAACATTATCATCATGATGATCATCTTGACCATTTGTGTGATCGCGCGCGTGTGTGTGTGTGTTGCGTCTCTTTCGACTCGTGGAGCTTCCAACTTTTCTTTCTTGGCCTGAACTTCTTGGACTTTCTTGCCAGCATGCTTAAAAGTCTTTTGGAAGCGCCAAGACCGCATTCAGTACGCTTTGTGCGCTGCAAGCGTTTGGTACGTTGTAACGGAACTTTGTTTTTTAAAGAAACGATCACAAAAACTAAACAAATCGAAAACAAGACGTAAACAATATTTGGCCCAAACAAGCTAAAAAGGATGCAAGCAAAAAGTGCGTGAATGTTAAACGATTTTCTTAATTAAAAAAAAAACACAAAAAGGCAAATTGAATAAATATATAAACAATTAATAAATAAAAAAGGAAAAACAAGCTGCAACAAAAATAAACAGCAAACAGTTTAAACGCAAATAAAAAGAAAAATAAATTTAAAGAAAAAAAACAGAAGCTGCTGATTGCAGCTCGCGCGAGTTGCTTTAACAACTTGTTGTTGTTGTTGTCGCTCAGTTTGATTGTTGTTTATGGATTTGCTCGCTTTTTTATTTAATGCATTTCCGCTCTAACACGTTGCTGTAACTGCCACTGCCACTGCCGCAGCAACTGCTGCTGGCCACGAAGCGCGCCGCGTCAACAGGTAAGCCTCGCATTTAGCCAGGATTAACTTTGCTTCAACTGCGGCAACAAGCGGTCGACAGTCAGCTGAGCGGCCAAATCTAGACCACAAGCCCCGAGCCAAAGTCCGGCGCAATGCCAGGGCCACACAAATGCAAGTCAAGCCTTGGCCCCCGATCCGAGTACGAGTTCGAGTCCGACTCCGACTCGGAGTCCGAGTGTCGACAAAGCGGATTACTAAACAAATATTTACAAGCCTTCAATTGTTGTGTGTGTGTGTGTGTGTGTGTGTGTGCACGTGATATCCTTTTTTATATGCGCATATTTCATACATGTTTGCTGCTGCTGCATCTGTTGCTGTTGGCATATTTATTTCCAAATAAACTGCAGCAGCAACAGTTGCCGCATCAGTTTTGTTTTGGGCAACAATGTGGGCTTAAATAGTTAAAGGCCCAAAAACAGAGCGCGGCGCACAGGTGAAAAGAATGAAATGAAAACTTGTCTTTAATTAAAGAAAAGGAGCAAAACAAAGAGCAGGCAGCCAAAGCAGCAGCAGCAGCATTAAAAACAAGTGCAGCAGCAGCAGCAGCAGAAACAAGTAACACGCACACACACACACACACTCGCGCGCACACATAGAGCGGCACACATGTAACATGAAAACAAGTTAAAATGCCTCAGCTACATTTGGTCAAGTTTACAGAGCCAAACATAAGCAAACAGTCAAGCAGAGCCAAGAACTGTAGAGTAGATAGAGAGAGGGGAGAGAAGTGGAGGTAGGGGCAAGCCAGAGGTAGAGCGAGGTGTGCTTGGGCTGAGAGCTGTTGCAGGTTCCTAAAACGGCTTTTGTATGATTTTTAATGAACCTACTAAGAACTTGGCCAACTAACTAGCCAAAGCCCAAAGCCCAAATCCCAAGCAGCCAGTCAGACATAAACTAGCTTGGCTTTGGCCATAATATTCCATTATGTTGTTGTTCTTTTGGCCAAAAAATAGACGTTATTATAAAAGCAGAAAACAATGCGCAATATTTATGCAAGCATTAACAGGCAAATCCTCTACCAACTGTCCGTCCGTCCGTCCGTCTGTCTGTCCGTCCGTCCGTCTTTCTGTCTGTCTGCTGGGGTATTATGCTTAGCTTGGGTAACAAACTTAAGCTGACAGCGCCTGCTGGCAAATGTATCTACAGAGTTTGAGTTACTTTCTAAATAGCATTTTACGTTTTGCCTGCCACTGAGATTAGTGCAGTTGCAGTTGCAGTTGCCAGTTGCCAGTTGCTGCTGTTGCCAGTTGCTGCCGTTGTTCTTATTGCGGTTGTTGTTGCGGTTAAATAAATAAGGCAACGACGTGCTCATAGTTCTGCCGCAGCTCAGCAAATAAGAAGAAATTGCAATGCTGCCACAAATGTTGCTGCTGCTGCTGCTGCTGTGATATTATAGATGCGTTCTGCTTGCCTTGCCAGCCCACTTCCTTTTTAGCTGGCTGCTTCGACTAAATGTTGTAGCTGCCGCTGTTGCAGTTAATAATTGCCAGACAGATAGTCAGTCAATTTGCAGCGCCTTAATCAAGTCAAACTGCAATCACACACACACTCGCACACACACACACACACTCGCACACACCCGTAAAGACCGCAACATAGCGGCTCATCTGTAATTTGAGCACTCGCACGAGTATCTTTTTATTTTTACCTCAAGCTGTGTTTGATTATGGCCAAAACGTGCCAGTTATCACAGCTGTTGTTTCGAGGCTTGGCCAGGCGAATGCATTTTTTCAGCCAAATGCCATTTGACCACGCTGCAAAATCTTTGTGCATGACATAATAACCAGTTGGGAATAGGTCAAAGTTAACATTGCAGCCAACTCGACAGGGAATTCAGTTGTTGTCCTATCACCTGCACAAATCAGCCAAGAGTATTGTATGCTTATATATATCTTTTAGCCAATAATATTGTATCTTTTATTTTCCTTCTTTTAATTTATGGAAATATGCTGAGCTTAAGAAATTTACAGAATTGTTGGATAATATTCCATGTGAGCCAATTATCTGAAGACTATGCCATAATAACTGTGAGAGCCAGGCAAAGAGCCAGGGCGGAAGCACAATTGTGCCTGTTTGTGGAATGCTTGAATAGAAGCAACAGATACCCTGTAATGAGCTTCAAATTGCCTTAATCACAATCTCACACGCCGCAAGCAAGCTTCTATTCACATTTTTCTACAATTTCCATTCTCCAATAACTTTTATTATTAGAGTCCAATATTTTTATAATTTTAGGCACATAAAGCTAACATTTAGGAATCAAAATTGAGAATAAGTTCTTTATACTTTATGTAAAGTGT